GGGGGGGGGGGGGGGGGGGGAGAACCCCCCACTGTATCACTCAATGATAGTACATTTTATATAAGTAAAAAATGCTTAAATTAAATATTTAAAAAAAAAGAAAAAAAAAAGACAATAGCCCAAGAAAATTACTAGTCAATTTGATGAAGTGCAAATTTCACCAGAATCCATGAACTACATGATTACAAGTATTCTTGATCCACCTAAAACTCTTTCTCAAAGAACCTTTCATTTTACCCTCCATAGCATATGATTTATATCCAATAACTCTTCTTTTCCTTTGCAATTCAGGATCATTAAAAGCCCAATTTCTTGAAGATGCTGTACTTTTGCTCTTCTTGATCTTCACTTCTTTATCTATGCCCCCATATGAATAAGGAGCATAGGAATTAGTACTAAAACTTCTCAAATCTTGCATATTTGTTGGACACCCATAATAATTTTCTATTTGCATCCTTCCTTCTCTTGTTGATACAGATCTAAAATTCTCCATATTTAGACACAAAAAGAGAGCTTTTTGGGGTGATTTGGTTTTTGCTTCAAAGTTTTGGTTTTGTGTAAAAATGGAATGACATATGGGAACAGCTGAAAGTGGTTGTGCCTTTGATATTTTATATTGTAATTTTTGAGTATCTCTTTTTTGCTCTCCTACTTTTTAACATTATTAAAGGCATGCTTTGACTTTTCCTAGGATAGAATGGATGTAAAATTATTGTAAGCTTTTAAATGTTATTCCCACCATTTACAGGTAACATGAGACATGAGTCATCAGCACTTCCTGAGTGAGGATCCTAATTTGCAACTTTCCATGTCATGATAATTTTTTTTTAGTAAGGGAGCACTTCAATGTAATAAAAATTTATATTATAATGTTATAATTATATGTAATCATTTATTAAAAAAAAAGGCGAAATTAGGAATTTAAAATATGAAATAAACTACTTATACAACTAGTGGTGACAAAATGGATAAAAAAACAGTTATTCATTCATGTTATCCATTAAAAATGGGTTGGATAATAAACTTTTTAAAAACGGCCCAAATATAGATAAGAACTATATTATCCACTTAGAAAATGGATAATCAATGGATAACTAATGGGTTTAACTTTTATATTTATAAAGACTCAAATTGTGGGTTCCTCAAGTTTGGGAGATTAGAAATTCTCCCAAAAGTAATCATATTCAAGAAGTCTGTGTTCGTCGATTAACCATTTTCTATCCGTATTTAATATGAGTTGGTTCGGATAATTTATTCGTTTTTGTATTATCCATTTTCTATTCGTCCATATCCGACCCTACTCATCCGTTTGACACCCCTAAATACAACACGTTAGAATGCATTAATATAAAAGTTCTTTCAGACTTAATATATAGAGTTAAATCTTATTCATATTATATCAATTTAAGTAAATTGTTTAGTTAAATGTCACTGAAAATTCTTTTCTTTTGTCCTCTACTACTACTCAATGGCCGCCTTTACCCAAGATTTTTTTTTTTCTTTTTTTGGGAGAAAAATCAAATGCCATATATCAGTCAATGTTGACCGTCGAATATCACATTGAAATTCTTTCTTTTATTCTTTGTCAATATAAAACATGTGAAAAAGAGGAGATGGAACTTTTCTGTTTAAATAAATCATTAGCAGGCTGTATTTGAAAAGGAATAGGTAGAAATCCCAATCAGACAATTAAGAGCCCTCTGAGTTTGATAGTTAACAGAAATTAATACTTATTTTTTCTTTCTTAACAGAAATGAAGTTTGACCAAGTCTGAATTACAGTCGTTCCGATCAGCACTTTTGTCGGTTTAATCACCAGGTAACTGAACTAATTCGAAATTGAGCGTGTACGTCTATTAGTAGGATAAAGTATTTCCTACTTAAAAGGGTAAAAATACCCTCGGCTAGCCAATTTTCTAATTGCTAATTGAAAAATAGTCAGCATTTACAAATTCATTGAAACATAGCCACTATGTTATGCGGAGATAAAATTTGAATAAAAACACTCTAGCTAAAACACGGAAAGTTCCAGCATAATATGCTGAATTATGGAACTCCTGCATATAAACTTTCAGCATATTCTGTTGGAACTCCAGTACATTATGAAATTCTAACATATTATGCTGGAATTTCATATGTAAAAAATTCGAACTACAATATATTATGCTGAAATTTTCTGAATTTTTAAGATTATTTTTGTTCAAATTTTATTTTTATATGAAAAAATGACTAAATTTCAATTATTTTTAAAAGTATGACTAATTTTCAATTACCAATTATAAATCAGGTCATTTCTAAGCAAATGATGCGGTATCCTAAGCAACCACTACACCTTTCGGTGGTTACACACTTGTTTTCTATTGTACGTAGTTATTTACCAACATTAATTAATTATTGCATGTTGTTTGATACTATTAATAGTATAGACAAAACTGTACTATTTGGTCATACTAAAATGGATTAGGAGAAAAAAAGGTAAGGGAAAGGGGAGCTAAGAGGACATCAAGACCTATCAATAAATGAGTGTTTGACTGTTTGTAGCGTAAAAACCTCAATTTCATAACTAATGTAACTTGCGTACTTCCAATAGCGTGTGGACCACAACTTTGGCCATTGATTTTGGTTCCAAAATTTGGTATACTATTTGAAGATTTTTTTTTTGGAGATAAAGTAGAGACGTGACATTAAACTTTGTAATATTTTATCTTTCGAAATTTTAAAAGTACATGATAGATGATAGTAAAGTAAATTTAAAAGGAAAAAAGAAGAGAAAAAGATGGTAATGGAATTTATAGGGGTTTCTCCTTTGTCCCAAGAATATCCAATCCCAAAGTACAAAAAGGAGAGGGGTATGTAGCAAAATACAAAAGGTCCCCTATTTGCTTCAATATTAAGCAAACACATCTCTTTTGGTTTCTATCACTGTATGTATGATAGAATTTCAGGACAAAATGTAAGAAATTTCGTGTTTGGCACAATTGAATATGAGGACTATAACAGCTTGTTTGGATAGTTCTTACGCATAGTTTCCTAATGTATCGTATTGTATTGTATTGTATCGTTTGATTAATATAATATCACATACCAGCAATATAAAAAATAAACTTGTAATATTATAAAGAAAAATTATGATACGAGGTAAATTTATTATATAAAAAGGTAGGATAAATGATATAATAAAATTATTTAATAATAATGAATGGTGAGATGAGAGAAAAAGACAAGATAACGACGCAACCACACCAAATCGGTTGTTACATAAAGTGGCACATTTCGTCGTTACGAAACGACGGATTTAACGATGCGACACAATAAAATTTAAGTAACAACTAAAACGAATATTGTATTTAAAGTTTAATAGCAAAGGCATCATAAGATTAAAATAGAAATTGGTCATTGAGCTTATATAATAAGTGAATCTGAGGACTGCATACATTTCCTCTCTAGTTTTAATTTCAACTACTGAAATAAGAACAAAAGAGAAAGGTCGTTGAGCTTGCAATTGTCAAAGTGCGAGAACAACATTCGGCCTATAGTACAAGTTGGAGATATTTCTCTGGCTGATTATCACAAAAGATACTTGTGGCATATCAATATACCACGAGCCTTTTACATTCTGAGGGGCCGTCTAGTTTGAAGATAAGTTATTGTAGGATTAATTATATTAAAATTAGTTATGTTGAGATTAATTATTTTGATATTATTTTTTATTGACTGTTTGGTATATTGTACTAATTTTGGGATTATCAATTTTACTGTTTTATCCTGGGATTATTATTTCACCCTCTGCCATGTATAAGTTATCCCGGTACTATTTTAATCCTCGAAAAACTTATCCCGAGATTAGTATCCAAATAAAGGATAATGTGGTACTAAATTTTTGTCCCAGTATTATTTTTGCTTATCCATCACATCAAATGACCCCTAAGATGTAGATTGTACCATTTTTTCATATCTATCTATATTATATTGAAAACACGAAGGTCCTTAGCGAAATGCCGTTCGTCTTTTTTCCCTAATATTTAGGATTTCAAAATCAACTAAATTTTTTATATTAAATCTTCCTTATTTGAGCTATGTAATAAAATAAATTTGTTACAAAAATAACAAAGAAAATCACTTTAATTTGTGACAAAGGAAAATCCCATTATTATATCAATTTATGGAAACTTTATGGTATGCGCTAGGAATGTAGTGATAATATTGCTTCTTTTAAAGTTTTCTATAGATATTTAACCTTAAAATTAATTAAAAGAGGACTCTACTTTACTAAATACGATAGGAATATGCAGTGAGAGAATTTGGCTCTTCAAACTTTTAGTATTTATTTTTCGCCTCTAGAGTTAATTAATCATTTTTAGACTAAATTTGATTTTAAACAGTAAATATATTAGCATAAAGTTACATTCCATGTTGGATATAATGATAATTGCCATCAATCACTTACAATTAATTTTTTCAGTTTAGAATGAGCTAATATGTTGATTTTTGAATTCAACTATGAATGTTTCACTTTTACTCTCTTAAATTTTATGAGATTTCTTAAATTCTATGACCTTTTTCAATTAATAAATAAAATTCTTTTTTCATTGTACGATGTGTGCGTGGCGTTGCTTATTAGAAATCGCTTCTTTCAAGTTTTTCATAGCTATTTGAATTTTTTAAATAATAAAAAGAGTATTTTTCCTTGTAAATGAATATTGTCATAATACATATTATCCTTTAAAAACAAACTTTCATTAGACAAAATCATAATATTATTATTTTGATGATATTATAAACTTAGAAATCAACTAAAACTTTTTATTATTAAATATTTTCTTATTTGAACTACATAAAAACTTCTAATATTTAAGAATTTAAAATTAAATAAAATTTTATTATACAAATTTTATTATTTGAATTATGTAAGAAACTATATAAACTATTTTCGTATTTAACATAATGACTTTTCTTATTTTGAAAATATTAAGTTTATTCCAACGGGCAGAGTCGTGCTACTTTTACTTCTCAATTTAAAAACGAAAACGGTTTAAAAAGATAAAACTAACGGTTCTTCATCAATATTGTAAATGCTTCAAGATAGAAAGAACAAAAGCCAAAATTTTGTGGAAAGTACCTCGTTTCATAATAATATCTTGTGGGATTGTGTTTATACTTTACGTTAAAATAGTAAATTAATTTTCTAAAAAAAAAGTTCAAGTTGAATACAGTAGTAGTAGTTTGTAGAACTTTACCTAATACTTAAAAATTTAAAGTCAACTAATAATAGAACTTATTAAATTTGTAAGTCAATCTAAATTTCTTCTCTTGAGTTTTTGGACTTATATGGTATTTCAAGCGATTAATTATGTACAAAATATAAATATAGTCTAAGTCATAGTCTAATTCTAGATAAAACTAAAAATAAAATTCTTGAATATTTTTCACCTTTCTCAAAATTATCCAAAATAAACACAAGGGTGATAGCCTCCAAACATATCTTCTTTATTTC